AGGGAAGGGAAGGGAAGGGAAGGGAAGGGAAGGGAAGGGAAGGGAAGGGAAGGGAAGGGAAGGGAAGGGAAGGGAACAAACCCTGATAGCAGCACAGGCAGAAAGTCAGGGGTGGGAGCACTCTTGGACTTATCAGAAAACTTCAGGGACTGTCAGCAGGTAACTATAAATCCTATTGACATTTGGGATTCTAATCCATTCCCCATCTAAAAGCTGCACACAGCAGTTGAAAGGCCCTTCTGAAGATGCATGCCGAGGATGTTGCCACACCCCGAGCCACTGACCTCCCCTGCCTACAGTCCTCGGAAAGAAACAGTGGCACCCAGCCCGTGGGTGGGAGCTCAGCCAGGGAGATGGGGAGGCAGGACACAAGGGTGCACAGGAGCCCCAAGCTGGCCAGCCCAGCCCCAAAAACTACAGATACCACTCTGTCAAGTTCTGCCTCTGGAGCTGTGTAACACCGGGAGACCCCCCCTTCCCCCCCTTCCTTCCCCCCCACCCCGGACTGCAGCATTCCTAAACATTTACTCATGGAGAGCCAGAAACATCCTCCCGGAAAATTCTTCTATAAGATAAACCCTGAAAATGTCACGACTGCCTGCGGGAGCCACCAAATAGCCCCAGGAGGGCAACAAGGGTGACTGTGCCCAGACCCTTGTCATTACCTGCATCCTCCTCCTCCTCCTCCTCCTCCTCCTGAACTGAGTAGGGCTGGACAAGGCACAGCCAAGAGGTGCTGGTGTCCTACTCTGCCCCATCCAAACGGACAAGAGGACAAGGCAGCAGAGAATTGTGGCTGGAGTGACTTTGGCCACCCTGTGAGGTTTCCTGGGGAGAATGGATGGTGGAGAGGGACCATCAATATTTGAGCACAGCCGAACCCAAGGGAGGTGTATAAAATGTGAGTTTGGGGTGAGCTGTAGCCCCCAGTCCCCCCTCACCCTGCCTCCACTGGGGCCATGTCTCTGCTTCCAATCACTCACCTGCCCCCAAGGCCAGCCGACAGCCTGGAGATAAGGCAGGGAAGGCAAGGGAAGGAATGCGACCCCCTGGATCATCCTCCTCCACGTTAATAAATCATCTTGCAGACTAACTGCTCCCTGGACAGGAGAAGACTGCTTCTAACTCCCCACCAAGGTTCTGGCTCAGCTGGGGAGCCCCAAATTTCAACTGAGTTCCTGGCATTCCTGCCTCGGCTCCAGCAGCGGGACAGGGTGCTGGTTTTGGTCCCCCTGAGGAACAGGAAGGAAGTGCATTCCCATTCCCAGGCACTTCTTTCCCTGAGGGTATAGGGAGAACAGTGCACCTGGCACCCCGGTTAGCACTGTAGACAGATTCTGTGTAGCAGGATGAGGGGAGATGAGGGATGGGACAATGGGATGGAGGGTTTGTAATCCAACTTGATGCCATCCCAACCAGAGAATCAGAGGAGGACAAGGCACCCAGGTGGGGTACATGTCCCAGAGCTTAAACAAAGCTTCCCAAGCCAATGATGTCCCTTAACCATGCCAGGATTTTAACCCTCCAATGTGACAGAGGAACAAAGCACTATCAGCAGGTAACCCAGCACCAGCTTTGAAGCCTACACAACAAAAGCTGGGAGTTGCCCATCCCCAGCTGTTTTCCAGGACTTAAGAAGCAAAGAAAACACCAATACAGTTTAAAAACCCCAATTCACCAAACAAAATGCAGAAGAGCTACCAAGCGACATACCTGAAGCTACAAGAGAGCGTCACAGCCTCCAGCCCGTGGAACAGCAGCTGTCCTGCACCCAGCCCAGCCAGGGATGCTGGGTGCCAGCTGGTCCGTGCTGCTGCAGGAGGCAACTGCCACAGCTCATGGATGCTTTATAGAGCCTCACCATGGATTTTCAGGGAGGAAGACCACCTGGCAGGTCATTAATCTCACCTTCAACACAGCATGTGGCAATCAGAATCCAAGCTCACACGCTTGCTGCAGGGCCAGGTGGCGAGGAACGCTATTTTCTTAGGGAATGGACAGGAAAAGGGGGATTGGGGAAGGGGTTTGTTTTGGGATTTCAGCTGCAATCTCCAGCTCATCCAACCAGCCTGGCTCTTGTCAGCGCTGCCCTCCTGCAGCGCAGGGGACTTTGTTTGGCTTGGAGGCCCCCAGCTGTGTTCGTAATAAGACTCCGTGTCTGCTCTGTGGTCCTTCCACCTCTTTGCACTCCTCAGACAATAGTTTGCCTGTGCTGCTGACTTTGGCAGCATTTTCAAAGTTTTGGCTCCTTCCAAAGTTTCCTCTGCACCAGGCAGCCAACCTTGGCCATCGTGCTTTGTTGTCACATCCCCTTGCATCCCACCCCCGGCTGTCTGCTGTCTGCAGGGCACCGTGCTCCGTGCTGGACCTTTTGGGCCCCGAATTGGGGACATGACAGGAAGAGGTGCCTAACAGGCCCTTTGGGGGTGCATGCTGGGGTCATGAACAGCCTGGATGAAGGGCAACTGGAAAAGGGAAAGCATCACCCAGGCCTTGAACCCACCCAACTGCACACGTCCCAGTGCCATAGCGAGAAATCAATCAATTGAATGCCTTGGAACCAAGTTGAGCGATGAGAAGCTGATATCAGCCAAGGCTGAAATTCCCCTTTTCCTGCCATGTCTCCACAAGTATTTAAGCAGGAAAACTTAGATCTTTTGAGGAAGCCCAAACAGCCTTGGAGATGGATAGTAAAGGGGTCAAACAGGTGGGTGATCTTTAGCTGCTCCATGCAAGCGCTGGGGAAAGCCACCAGGAGCTGGATGAAGCCAGAACTCACATCATCCTTTTCCAACCAAGAACTAGAGCCAGTATTTGACCAATTATTCTTTTTTTCTATAAGTCACTTGGTTTTAAAGCAAAATGCAACACAATAAACAGCTTTAATGCACTGAAGTTCACCACCTGTAACAGGACAGGTGCCAAGAACAAGCAGTGCTGTAATTTGTGTCCCTGCTTGCATGGAGACAACATGTAGACAGAGCTTGAAGACAGAGATTCCAGATCAGGCTTGCCCCCTCCTGAACGCAGGGATGATGCCACAGCCAGGCACCATCCCAGACTTCAGCATCCCAGAGCAAAGCTGCCCAGCCCACGGGCACAATGCCATGAGCCAAGGGCATCCCTGCAGCACAGCACCACTGAGATGGGTACCCACAAGCTGTTTCCTGGGATGATAAGGGGTTAAAAAAAAAAACTGAACCACACAAAAAAGCCCAGCAGGCATGCCTGAAGGGGGGGATTAGAGGGAATAGGGCCATTTCTCAGCAAAGACTATGGCAACCTAAATAGAAAAGTAACATTACTCTCAAGACAGGGGCCCTTTCCCTTTACTCCTGCCCTACAATGTCACTATTGTTTTGCTGACAACTGGTAATTATCCCAAGCTGCACACACTGGTATTCCCCCCGCTTTAACCGGGAGGGATTTTGCAGCCGCCGACCCTCTGACACCAGCAAAAATTCACATACCAGAGAGTTCAAAGGGGGGGCGGCCTGGGAAGGCTGAGCAGCCTTGCAGGGAGACGTCATTCATCCAGCACAGGGTCCCAGAAGGCTGGGGCTGGGAAGGGACCTCTGCAGATCAGCAAATCCAAGCCCTGCTGAAGCAGACTCACCTGCTGGGTGCACAGGACCATGTCCAGCTGGGGTTTGAGCACTGTCAGAGAAGGAGGGTTCAGAACCCCTTCCAGTGCCTAAAGGGGCTGGGGACAAGGGATGGAGGGACAGGACACAGGGAATGGCTCCCACTGCCAGAGGGCAGGGATGGATGGGATATTGGGAAGGAATTGTTCCCTGAGAGGGTGGCCAGGCCCTGACACAGGGTGCCCAGAGCAGCTGTGGCTGCCCCTGGATCCCTGGAAGTGCCCAAGGCCAGGATGGACACTGGGGCTCGGAGCAGCCTTGGGATAGTGGAAGGTGTCCCTGCCATGGCAGGGGTGGGGACTGGATGAACTTTAAGGTTCCTTCCAACCCAAACCTGGCATTCTGGGATTTGGGATGGCTTTGCTCCTGATGGCCATGCTTTGAGTTCAAGGTGCCCCAAAAGTCAGGGGGTCTTTTCTCATATCACCATCCCAGATAAAAAAATGTTCACATCCCAAACATCCAAGTCTAAGCAGTGAATCTTTTCTGAAGACAAACAACAAACAAACAAAAAAAACCCAAACCAGACAAAACCAACAAAAAAAACACTAACAAAACCCACATAGAAACTCCTGATTAAAAGTTCTGGGGAGCCAGGACCCCCAGGATGAGACCCTGCAGGCTGCATCTGTCCTACTGCAAGAGGATGGGGATAAGTCAAATCCATAATTTTTCACTTACGGGATGGAGGAGTCACAGTCCCAACATTCCCTGCCTAACAGGAGTTCATCTTGGTGCCAGCCCCAGCTCAGATAAGGTGATAAAAAAAACTCTGTAAACCGTCTCAAGATGGATTAAAACATTCCCATGGTCAAAATGTAGATTTTTTTTTTTCTGCTTTTGCAGGCTGGTGCAGGAGCCAGAGAGCTCAAAATTGCAAAAAAGCTGCTTTTTTTCCCTGCCACAGGCTACAAGCAGCATAGCCAAGGTCAGAACAAGGCAGAGGACACACACAGCCTCCAAAGGACCCAGCTAAAAGGACCAGCTCCTCTGGCATCTACTTTAATATTGCTGTTTGATTTTCTTCTGCATTTTAATTACACGATCACAGAAGTTTCTTCTTAACAGGAATGCTGGAAACCAGTTTTTCCTGCAGCAAAGCCAATTCCACAAATGCTAGCAGTGACCTGTAAAGTTAAAAAAAAAATCCCCATAAATCTTCCCTTCATCATAGCAGCAGTGTCACTCGCCGGGCTGGGATTTTATTTATTGTTGTTTTAAGCACCCAGGAGAAAAGAAAACGCTTCTAAAACCCCACTTAACCTGCTCCAGCTGCAGGGAAAAAAAAAAATCCTATGTAGGCAGGACCTACACTCTGGGACTCCGGGCAAGCTGCAGCCTGTCTCCAGAGCACCCAGCTGGGATTTGGGGGAATGAACCCCCCTTCTGCCAGGCCCACAGCCTCACCAGCTTTAGCCAGCTCCTCATTAAAATGTGGGGCCATCTGCAGGGTGCAGAGCCTGAGCACTGAGGCTCCAGCAGCTCAGAGACAGCCTTGCCCTGGGACCAGGACCTCGCTTTGGAGGATGCTGGAGCCTGCAGGAGCTCCTGAGGCTGCACTGGGAGCCAGCTCCTGGCTCCTCCCGAGGCAACAGCAAGGATTAAACCCAGACTGTGCTCTCCAAACCCCTTTTGGTTCCTTTGCACCCCATATTTGGGGACATCAGAGCTCAGTGGGATGGGGGGAACAGCAAAGCTTTCATGGCCCTTGGGAGAAACTCTGGCCGGCCACTTCACAAGGAAAGAAGGCAGAAGAAAGCCTGGAAAGGGGCCACTGGGAAAGCAGAGGAAAGGCTGGAAAAGACTGAAATGGAACAATTTATCAGGCAGCTGTGCCATAGATGTGGGTGCTCCAGATGCACAGCACCCACTGGGAGCCACCCATCGGATTTTTGCGTGCTGGGCTCTGACACCTGCTGCACACAGGCAGGGAGACTCCACCCAAACACCTGGAGGCAAAATGGGGCCGTCAGGTGGGCAGAGAGATAAAAACAGCTCAATGAAGGGAAATGAAGGAAATGGGAGGGATTTTTGCTCCCGACCCAAACAGACACCTTTTTACTGGTGTTGCTGCTGTTTGCTGCTGTTGCTGCCCCAAGGTCAGAGGGGTGTCAGGGGTTCACAGCCACCCCTGCACAGCTGGAACTGAGGGAGGGATGTCCTGGGAGCCCTGGTGCTGGGATACAGGGGATGTAGTGGGAGACCAGAGCACTGGGAGGCAAGGAATGTTCTGGGAGGGAGCACTGGGATCAGGGGATGCACCAGGAGACCCATCTTCATTGTGAGAGTCAGATTTACAGCGACACAGGCTGTCCCACGGTGCCGGTGTGGCGCATCCCACTCCAGTGTGGTCCCCAAACCAGGCCTGGTGTCCTTCTTGGGGCAGAAGTGCTTCACCAGAGGCCCACCCACCGCTGGGGTGGATCAAATACCCACGAGGTTGTTCTACCACCAGTATTCTCAATTCCCCTGCCGCCGGCTGATGCTCGGCCCCGGGAGCTGCCGGCAGAGCCCGGGGCAGGCGCAGGGAGCGGGGCCGGAGCCCAGCCCCACTCTGGGGCTGCCCGGCCATGGGAGCGGCACTCCAAAACCAGCAGGCCGGGATGCAGCGGGATGGAGCGGGATCTGGAGCAGGATGGAGCGGGATGGAGCGGGATGCAGCGGGATGCAGCGGGATGGAGTGGGATGCAGCGGGATGCAGCGGGATGCAGCGGGATCTGGAGCGGGATGGAGCGGGATGCAGCGGGATCTGGAGCGGGATCTGGAGCGGGATGCAGCGGGATGGAGCGGGATGGAGCGGGATGTGGAGCGGGATCTGGAGCGGGATCTGGAGTGGGATCTGGAGCGGGATGCAGCGGGATGCAGCGGGATGGAGTGGGATGCAGCGGGATGGAGTGGGATGGAGCGGGATGGAGCGGGATCTGGAGCGGGATGCAGCGGGATGGAGTGGGATGGAGCGGGATGGAGCGGGATGCAGCGGGATGGAGCGGGATGCAGCGGGATGGAGCGGGATCTGGAGCCCGCACTGAGGGTTAACCACGTTGCTGGGACACCCGCAGGCGTAGAAATCCAGCACTCGTTGGATTAGTCTAGACGGGCTGACCTTTCCCTCCGCTGCCGAGGTGAAACCGGCCGCAAAGCAGCCCCGCTGGCTGAAAGGAGGGGTTTTTGTCGCTGTTTAGGTGTTAGGTTTTGTTTCAGACGGGAGCCAAAGAGGGAGGGACATCGCCGTCGCTGAAAGAATCATTTCAGTACCTGCCGCCGGAGAGGGATGTGCAGGAGACGCCCGGGGCTCAAAACCTGCTGCCAAGCCCGGGCTTTGCCCAGCAACTCGGCTGACAAAAGAGCCTTTCATGAAAGAGGACGATGTCAACCCCGCAATTAGCAAGGGAAAAGAAAAAAGAGCCGAAGGAAGATTATTACCTCCAGCAGTTGCCTCTGGGGGCCCCTCTCCAGTGGCTTCCTTAACTCTTTCGGCTGAGCCCGAGGAGAAGAAGGTGGGAAAGGAGCCGTCAGTGTCCGCGTAAGCCAAGGGCTGGCTGGAGCCGGGCTGGCAGCCCCGCCTTGAAGGATGCCATGAGGATTCCCATCCCCCTGGCACCCAGAGGGAGCCAGGCCCACGACTCCATTGCATCCTGGCTGGGAGGGAACTGTCTGATACCTCCATCCAGCCCAGCACCCCGAGAGTCCTGGTGGGATTAGACTCCAATCAAGAGCCCAGCCCAGCCCACTGGGTACCACACACAGGCACGGGAGATGCCAGGACACCCACACGCCCTCCACCTTTGTGGCCCTGACATCACCATCTCCCCACCAAAAAGATGTGCCCAGAGCAGCTCTAGAAGTAACAACTGGTTAATCAAATCCTAAATCTGAGCTACCTGGGATAGTGTAAGGTGTTCCTGCCCATGCCCAGGGGGTGGAAGAAGACAGGCTTTGAGGTCCCTTCCAAACCAAACCATTCAAAGAATCTACAGTAAAAGCCAAAAGTCACAGGCGTGCTGTTGTCACACACCTCTCTCAGTCCGCAGTGCCAGGGGCTGGGACTTCCTCTGCACCCTGATATCCGTGGGGACTTAGTGCCACCTGGAATCCTTGCGGGTTTCTACTCCACCCACTCCCACCCATCAGTACCCTGCTGAGCCCCAGCTCCTAGCACAACAGGGCACTTCTCCAATTTGGAACCCAGCTGGGGAGATGCTGGCATCACTGATAGTGTCACACGATGTGTCCAGGGGTTCCATGTCACCCACATGTCCTAGGTCCCCAGGATAAGGGTCCTGGCCCCTCTGGAAAACATTTTGGAACCCCAAAGAAAAGGGGAAGGAATAAGCTGTACAGATGCCTTCCCACCATGCCACAAGTGAGCACCACAAGCTTATCTAGGGATTATCAAAAAGTTGCTGTTTATCCAAAAGTCAACAATCTCCAACTCAATTAAGTTACAGACTAATGAAGAGGATGGAAAAGAATAAATTGGTTTGATTACTATGTTTTCCAAAGGGAAGGCAAGTGGCTAATTTAGGAATTATAAACTCCGAAGCAGCTTCAAGGACCATTGGGCTCTCAGAGATTTATGCCAGTTGTGACAGTGGGAAGAGTATGGGGATGGTAATGCTGGGTTCCAGGTGCTCCAGCTCCTATTCCCACCCTGGACTGTTTGAGCAGACTCCCACAACCCGGGGACAAGGTCAGAAGAACAGCAAGATCTTATAGTCCCCAGGGGAGAAGGAAACCAGCAGACTGAGCTTGGGAATAAAACTCCAATAAATCTACTAATGACCAATTTCCATCTTAGAAAAGGGCTGGGAGGCGATGCCAAAAAAAAGCAATAAAAATTCTGCAAAAGCAACCTTTTTAAGACACGGGATGTTCCGGACCAGATGTTGCTTGCTGAGAAAGCCCCAGTGCCGGGGCTGCTGCTGCCAAACAGTGCTGCTGGTCAGAGCCAGGAGCACAGCAAGCCTCTGGAGCCTTGGCCCTGGAGCAGCCCCAGCCCACAGCCCAGGGGATGTCAGTGTCCTGCTTCATTCCAACACTCCTTAGGAGGTCAAAGCCATCCACCTTCGGGTGGTAGGAACCACCCCTTCACCCCCAAAGGGCTGATTAACCACAATCACACCTCGAGGGGGTGGAGGTTTTTTGCCCTCAAGCCTCTCCATCTCTCCCAGTGGTTCCAAATCCATATTAAGGCAATGCCAGAGCCCCTGGTATCTGCACAAATTTCAAAACCATTTTCTAACCCTGTTTAGCTCCTTGTGCTTCAGTGATATCTTTGGCAACGAGCTCCCCAGGCTAACCAAGCCCAACACTAACAGCCACACACGCTGCTGCTACCATGTGCCTTCCTCCACCCACAAAGTCAGGGACTTCTTCCCGATCCCCAGGATTTAAGGGGACTTAGTGCCAGCTGAAATCATTGCAGGTTTCCCCTGCACCACCTCCCACTCATCAGCAGGACAGGGCACATCCTCCCGAGGGTAGCAGCAGCGCTGCTCCACACACATCGCTACCCAAATGATGAGGAATGTGGCTGGAGGACAGGAGAGCCAGGGAGAGCACCCCCACAGCTGGCAGAGAGGAAACTGGGACACGGGGAGAGGTGGAACTCATCCATCATGGAACCTCACTGAGTGGTTTGGGTAGGAAGGAACCGTGAGGTCTCACCCCCTGCCATGGGCAGGGACACCTTCCACCATCCCAGGCTGCTCCAAGCCCCATCCAGCCTGGCCTTAGACACTGCCAGGGATCCAGGGGCAGCCACAGCTTCTCTCATCAACCTGTATCAGTGCCATGACACCTTCAGAGGGAAGAATTTCTTTGTAACATCCAAGACATTACCTCCAGGCTTGCACACTCACAGAGATTGCAGCATGCTCTTGGAAAGGACTCCTCTCCAATGTTTTCCCAAATATCATCAGATACAACAGAAGAATCGTTAGAATGTTTTATTAATCCCATACCTCTGGGCTGCTGATATACATCAATACTTAATCCCAGATGTCTCCTTCAGTACTTTGAACTCTCTAGTGAAATGCCAGAATTAATTATTTTCTTGGTAAACTATCAAGAGTTTGGGAAAAAAAGACAGTGCACTTGCTGGGATTGTTATTCCAGGGTTTAGAGTATCATCCCTAACAGTAATGACAGGCCAAAGTGGTGCAGAAGAGAGGTGACATTCCTGTCACAGAATATGGGGTGGGCTGGAAGTAACACCAAACCTCACCTTGTTCCACCCTCTGCCATGGACAGGGACATTTTTCACTTTCTCAAGGTGCTCCAAGCCCATCCAGCCTGGCCTAGAACACTTCCAGGGATCCAGAGGCAGCCACAGCTTCTCTGGACACCCTGTGCCAGGGCCTCACTGGGAAGAATTCCTTCCCAATATTCCATCCAGCCTTCCCCTCTATCAGTGTGAAGACATTTACCCTTGTCCTGTCACTCCAGACTCCAGCAAAAAGTCTCTCCCCCTCTTTTTTAACAGAGGATGCAGCCTGGGATGAGTCCTTGCCCCTGGCTCCACATGCCCCTTTCTCCTCATAAAGAAGAGGTGACATCCCCCCAAGAGCAGAGCCAGTTTCCCAGCAGCACAGATTTTTCTGCTCAGGGAGTTTTAAGCCAGGCAGTGACGCTTGAAGCAGGATTGCAAAATGTTTTCTCCAAGGGCTTGGATTTGCTGCTTAACAGCACCCAAGTTTTGTCGCCATAAACACTGGAAGGAGAGGTTAGTCCAGCTGCAGGCCAAAATAAATAGGGAACAGTGTCACTGAGAGGCTGCTCTTCAGAGAGAGAAAAAAAACCCTGCTTCTCCAGAATATGGAAGTGTATGGGCAGGGTTTTCTAGTGGCCACAGAGAAGAACAGATCTCCAACCCTCCAGGGACACGCAGCAGCAGGGAGGGAGCTCCCAGGTACTCACAGTGCTGGGCCAGCAGACACCACATGGAAACCTAAAACCAACACAAAAGCTCTGGGAGAATGGATGCTGTGGAAGGACCAAGTTTGGGTACAGAGCTGGGGAAGTAATGGACAAATTAGGATTAGGGCTTGAAAAGGTTGTGTTCTTCAATCAAAGCAAACTGCCAGAGAGCACAGCCACTCTGCAGGATTACTCAGTCTCTTTTTAAACTTCATTTCCAGCCCCAAAGCACCACCCAAGCACAGCCACTTAATCCCTGCTGCCACCTCCTTGGGACAGGCAGGAGGGATGCGATCCACCTGCCAGGATGATGGACCAGGAACTCAGAGGTGCTGCAGGGAGATGTCTGCAGCCTTGTCACCTTTCAGCTGCCGGCAGCCTGGGCAGCTCCCCCTCCCCAGCAGCTCCCTCGGCACAGATAAGGTTTTGCAAACAGCAATCCTGCCAGCTGATAAGGAGGTGAAGAGCCTGAGGAGCTCCTGGAGCACAGCATCCTCCCCAGTTCCTCCAGCCCCTGCCGGGAACCTCAGTGGTCAAACAACGCTGTCAGAGCTGAGAGGTGCCAACCTTGTCCAAGCCAAACCCACAATGCTGGGTGCTGCCCACATCCAATTCCCTCATGTCTTTTGAAGAAATTCCTAAAATAATGCTAGGAAAGCTCTGATGCCCCGTCAAACCCCACCAGGTGCTGATGCCAGAGCAGTTGTGCCACAGGTTGTAAATCACTTTGCACAGTGATTCCTTGTGAGGAATCCCAGCCAGAAAGACCCACAGCCCACTGGGGATGAAAATTATCAGGAATGAGCCTCTCAACCTGCAGCTCCAGCACCTGTTGTCCGTAACAGTGGGAGAAGGCAGCTTGAATTCCCAGGGGCTGCCTGCACCCTCAGCAGCAGCAGAGCAGAGAGCTGGGGCTGCTTTTGGGGCTCCTCCCGACGCCAAATGGAAGCACAGAAATCCAGTGTGAGAGAAGATAACAAATCATGGAAGCACTACAGTTAGAAAAGACTTCCAAGGTCATCAGATCCAACCACTCACCCAGCACAGCCAGTTCCACCATTAAACCATGTCTCCAAGAGCCACATCAACACATTTTTCAAACACTTCCAGGGATGGTGATTTCATCACTTCCCCGGGCACTCTGTTCCAATGCATGGTTGCTTCTACCACCAGAAGTGGCCTGGCCAGCAGATCGCCCCTATCCAGGGACCTGGCACAGGATTGCACCCCCAGGAATGGGGATTTTCCCAGCACCTGACCCAGCCCATGCCTGAGGTCACTCATAGCCCTATTTGTGATTCCCCCCACACTAGCCAGACCAGACCTGAGGCAGCATCCTCACACTATCCCTTGGGGCTGAGCCCTTCCTGAGGAATCCCAGAGATCCAGTGATAAGAGGCCAGCCCAACTTGGGGCAGCTAAGCCCCCAAATTTGCAAGGCAGGCAGATAAACAGAAAAGTTATCTCCATACCAGGACAGCCTTTGCAGCAAACATTCCCCAGAGCTATCACAAAGGCAGGCTGGCAGAACAGGCCCTGCAGTCCTTGGACATTGAACCAAGGGAAGGGGGGAAGAATAAAAGAAAAGAAGGAAAAAAGCCACACCAACCCACTGAATTCCTTTAAAACCTGATCTGCAGCCTGCCTTTGGGAGACGGCCAAGTCAGCTGGGTGAGACAGGCACCTCCCTGCCAGTGGTGACCTCCGCCAGCTGCATTCCCCCAGCACTCATCCCCTCTGCCCTGGGCAACCTCCTCGGGGCCCCCAGCGTGGCTAACCAAAGCTGGAGGATGCACCTCTTGCAGAGGGTCCTGGCTGGCCCTGAGTGCCCCAGGATGTTGATGGAGAGGATGGGAAGGGCATGGATAACTCTGAGTACCCACTATTAAAGCAGTGCCTGGCCCTCCAGCTCAGCTTGGCTGCACTGGACAGTCTCCAGGGACCTAAAATAGCCAATTCAGGATTTCACATGGGAACAATGTTCCCATCTCTGCAGATCTCCAAGGGGAGCTTTGTTCCTGCGGTCCCTGGGGAGGCACCCATGCCACTGAAAGCAGCATCATAAATGCAGCCCAGGGCACTTGGAGAGCTTCTCCCAGAGTTCCCACACATGCTCTGGGAGTGCTGGGTATCCCTGCTGCCCCAGCCAGCCTCCTTCCCTCCACAGCTGACCCCGCTGCCCACAGACAGTGCCAGAGCTGTTCCTGAATGACACAAAGCCTTGCTCCAGTAAATAATCCACCAATTTCATGGCTGACTTGCCATTCTCCTGTACCTGGGGATGCCACTAACAGAAAAGTCATGCCCAGCCTGGGACAGCAGAGAGGGACACGAGTGATGCTTCACACCATGCTGGCACAAGTCAAAGACCAGACCAGTACCCCAGAGAAAATCCACTGTCTCCTTGTTTTTGGATTGTCCCGTGCAGCTCAGCAGCTTTGGCAGTTGGGTTCCTGGGATCCAGGTGGGGGCTCCCTGTGCCAGCCATGGCTGTTCCTGCCTCCAGGTGCTGGGCACGCGTCCAGAGACCGGCTGCAAGGGTAGGAGGGCTTTCATCCCGCCTGGCAGCCGGCAGGAAGCTTTCCTGTCGGGGAGGTAAAGTTCACCAGAAACACAGGCAGTGGGAGAACCGGCTCCATGTGCCTCGTAGGGAAATAAACGTTGAAGAGCTGAGTCAGCACTGAATTCCCCTCTCCCAGCCCAGCTGCACCCGCAGCTTGAGAAGTGGGATGTTACAGGGAGCCCCGAGGGCAGGGAAAAGCCCAGAAGAGTATGGGAGGTGTTGCATCCCCAGGGCATACACTCGAGGCTCCTAACCACTCATAACACTTCCAAGGACATGCAGCCACAGGGAGGATTCGTGAAGAAAACGCTAACACATGGAGCACGGCCACTTTGGGGCAACGCTATCCTGCCTGTCCCACAGCCAGCACGGACCTGATAAACCACTCTCCTCCCAGGGAACTGCAGTCAAGGATTTCCCCAGCATCCGTGGCCGTTGATGGGATGGAGCACACGGGACACCCCGGGCTCGGGAGCCACAAGGGATGTGGCCATTAAAGGAATCACCCTCAGCTTCGGGAATCACAACTGGGCGCAGCATTTGGCTGGAGGGGAGACTCCAGTCCCCATTCCTGCTGTGGAGAGCCTCCCAGGCGATGGGGGGCTTCAGGACAGGGAGGAGGTATGGAACCCTGGGTACGGAGGCAGGCACTCCCCTCCCCAACATCCCGCAGCATCCCGTGCACGTTACCCGGCTCCTGGGAAGCAGCGGGGACCAGCAGGACAAAGAACCCGAGCAGCAGCCGCGGCGGGGGGCACCTGCGGGAAGGGAAGGGGAGAGAGAGGTCACCCATCCTCCTGCCGAATGCGGGGCGCCCCCCGGCCCCCACCCCACCCCACCCCGAGGTCCTCCAGCGGTCACAGCCGGGTCCCCCAGCCCCGGCGGCTCCAGGGTGCCGGTACCCCCCAGCCCCTCGTGTGCCAGGGCACCGGCTCCCCGCGCTACGCGTGCCTCCCAGCCGGCGCCTTCCCGGTGCTGCTGCCGGCCTCCCCCGGTGTCCCCGCGGTACCGGTGCTCCTGGGGTCCCGCCGCGGCTACACCGAGGACCCCCCGCCCCCCAGAGTCCTCGTCCTTCCTCCCCGGCGGCTCCCTCCCTCGTCCTGTCCCAGGGTGCCGGTGCCTCCCTCCGCGGCGGTTCCAGATTCCCGGCGCCGTCGCTCCACAGCGGCTCCGTCCTTCCCGCACTACCTGTGCCCCCACATCCCCGACGGCTCCAGGGCCCCGGTGCGCCCCGCAGCCCCGGCGCTCACCCCGTGCGCATGGTGCCCGCTCGGCGCCGGCAGCGCGGCGCGGCTCCGCTCCGAGAGGCGGGCTCGGCTCGGCTCGGCTCGGCTCGGCTCGGCTCGGCTCGGCTCGGCTCGGCTCGGCTCGGCTCGGCTCGGAGCGGCGGGATCGGCACGGCCCCGGGGGCGGGGAGGGGAGGGGCGGCAGGGCCGGCCCGCCCCGGGCGGGTGAGCCGGGGCCGAGGCTCAGCCCACTCCCAGCCCCCGGGGCTGGGGCTCTTACAGCCGGCGGTCTCTTGCAGGGTCGGGAGCGCTCCCCGGGGGTGGGTGAGTGGGAGAGGCACAGCTCTCCCCGAGGAGCATCCCTCTCAAGGAACATCCCCCCCGAGGAGCATCCCACCTCTGTCCGGGGTGCCGAAGAGCACCCTCACCTCTAAAGGGCATCCGCAGGACCTGCCCCGGCACCTCCTACTCCACCAAGCCCAGGGCTTCGGCTCGCAGACCAGGTCTGGTCTTGAAGGAGGGAGTGAATCAGCGAGCCGAGCTCTTTCCCTCTCCCAGCACTTATGCGAGCCCCGGAGCACGGAGCCCGGCGCTCTCAGCATGGCACCCAGTTCTCCTTTCTGGCCCTTCGTTCGCCCTCACTGCGTGCATGGGGCTCGGGAACTCCACGATCCTGCCTCCTTCATAGTGCCGTGAGCCCAGCCCAGGCCGGCAGGGTGCGGAGCCGAGGGGTTCCTGGACCCCCTCCCGGGGTAGCCCTGGGTGCGGGCTGAATGCCAGAGCCAGGGCAGCAGCGCCGCGCACCTCACCCTGCCCACGGCGGGAGAAGAGTTAAAGCTGGGGCTGCTGCCGCTTTCACTCCTCCCCATACCCCAGCTTTCATCTTCCTCCAGCCAGAGGATTATCCCGTCGGGATAATCCCCACAAAACCTGCTGCCACACCTTGCTTTGTCTTCTGTAGCATTTTGGTGCCCCGAGGCAGCAAAAAGCTTCTGAAATCCAAGCCCTGGAAGGTTCGAGGGGATGTAGAAGTGATTCACTAATGAGATGGCAGAGGCGTGTTTAGTCTAAGACAGGGTTTGGATCCAGCAGGATAAACCACGACATCCAGCTGCTCGGCTCTGCGCTCACACAGGGCCACGCTAGTTCTCTCCGAATTTTGGCTGTAAATCTTTCAACGGCGCCAAAGGCAGGCAGCCCCTCAGCACAACCCCGGCCTGGGGGCCATGAATACACACCAAAGCTGCCTCTTGTTTGGCTGCAGAATGTTTTCACGTGGTCAGGACTCTTGAATTTATGCTTTCCCAGCTGGATGCTGAGTGATTTACCAGCCCTTTCTTCTCCCACGGCTGGATTCGTTCCCTCCAGGTAGAGGTTGCAGTACCTGAACTGCACAAAAGGCAACATGTTGGCAGCCCTGAGTCACCGGGCCGCACTTCCGAGAAGGGATTTTGGAGGGGTGGATGGGCTGCGGGACCTGGAACAAGGGGGAAGAGTGTCCTGGGACAAGGATGGTGCTTGGGAAAAAAAACTCCTTGAAAATGGAGAAGAGTCCTTCCTGATAGCAGAGACCTGTGTGAAGTGACCTGGCTTTACGTGGGCTGGATCAGAGCGGGTGGATAAATGCTCCCGTGGAGTGAGAGCAGCTCTGGGAAGGCGGCTTTGGCTCCATGGGGGAATTCTGGCCCTTCCAGTGTTATCAGCGCTGCCGGAGCCAGAAGGTGCAAACACTGGAGGCTACACTGACCGCCTGCCCAGACCTTCCCACACATGGAGCACAGTGAAGTTATCACTGCTGCAGGTGAACGTGGAGCTGGATTACATCCCACACTTCCTCCTCGCTGCACCTCTGGACTCCACCTGACCCAGCCGCGTTTGTTCGAGCACATCACCTTCTGCCACCCTCCTGACTTGCCTATGTCTCAGCCCCAGTGCTGTCCCCATTGCCACAGCGGGGCCATGGTCCCTTCCAGCAGACCTCCATGCAAAACCTGCCTGACACCAGGGCAGTTTCCCATTGCAAAATCTCCTCCTGCTGAGCTTTAAAGTCTGAGAGCCATGAAAGACAGCTAATGAGGCTCATCTTTTCCCAAGAAAACAAAAACTTCCCGCTGCGGGAGGAGAGACACCCACGCTGCCAGTGGAGGCAGCTCTTTCAAAAGCTGACCAAATGGAAACCAGTGGAGCTCCGATGGTGGCTCTCGCAGCTTGCAGCCCAGACTTCCCAAGTCCCGGCCAAAAAGGCTCTCCTACCCCGCGGGCTCCCAGCTCCAGCAAAGCTTTGGCATTTTTCATCTCTGAGTGGATCCTGCAGTGTCCCGCTGTCCCTCCACCCCTGCGCCTGGCTCCCACCTGCGTCCCGCGGCCGGTGGTCCCACGCTGCTGGGTGGCCCCGGTGCGAGGACAGAGCGGCTGCCCCAGCTCCCAGCACACAGCCCCTGCCAGCTCAGCGGCCGCGACAGCACGGCCGCCAAAAAATGTCACCCTGGCAACCTTGCGGGACACTGGCCTGTTTTCCTTCCTTCGCGCAGAGAGGAGGGGGTGGAACCTGCTCTGCTGCGGCCCAGGCGCGTCCCCGGGGCTGGCATGCATTAGCGGGGCCCATGGCCCCTCCCGGCTCGGCGGGACGGCTGGCCCGGCCTGGGACGGGCGGCGTGCCCCCTCTGCCCGAGGAGCCGGAGCCGTGGGAGCGCCGGGGCTGCCAGCGACCGTCACCAGGCCCAGAAACGCGCCTTGTGCACGGCTGCCTTCAGAGGCTCCTTTCACCTGCTTAGTCCCGCTGCCACCACACCGAATGAGGATGCTGGGGAGCAGTGGGGGACATAGGAATTGGGTCAGGGGAGCAATAAAGGACAAGAAGGCATAGGACACTATTTGGCAAGTGTCCCTGCTGAAAAACAAAGGCTGAAGCAGACAACCACCGCCAGACACAGCTGTCCCATCTGGGCCAATCCCCATGGGGAGACTGTGGCTGGTGCTGCCACTTTGATGTGCCATTTGTCCGTGTTAAAGCTGCTCCCTCCCGGGGCAGCCCCTGGGTGTGAGTGCTTGGAACCACTGAAAGCAGCTGGTTTTGCGTCTTGCTGTCACATCTGTTGCTCTAGCTCAGAACTCTGTGTCTGCTGATGGCCCAGGAGCTGCCAGGATGTCCTCAGGAAAGGGCAGTATCATGCACTGCCTTCAGCTGACACCTCTGGAGAAGATGTGGCGAGGGATGATGTGAAAACCATCCCTCCTTTCCAGAGGTGAAGCAGGCACAGCCACAAAGGTGGGCATCTGGGAAGGACCCAGGCAGCACAGGCAGGAGTGGAAACAACTGGAAATCCAGATAATCCCTCGGTGAGGAAAGCTGGCAGGCACAAGGGCTTGGCTGAGTTGGGAGCACAGTTACCTGCCCATGTAGGCGGGGGATGAGCTCAGCCAGGCCGGGTTGCTGGGGCTCGAAGCGCAGCAGCACCACGCCTGGCCTCGGCAGGCAGAGCTGGGGGGTGTGTTAGTGAGGGGCTGCAGAGAGCACGAGGTGTTCCAGGGGCAGCAGACCTGGCTGGCCGCAGAAATGCTGCGGGATCTGGAGCCCACCCGCACCTCAGCCATGGATGGGAAGAGGATGGGATGGGACAGCAGAGATTGCTGAGGCTCAGCAGGGAGGTAAGTGGGGCTGGGGAACCACCACACCATCACCTCCTGGAGCAGCAGGGGCCAGTCCACAGCCCTGAGACCTGCACATAGAGCTGCTGGGCAGGGGACTCCAGGCCTGGCCACATCCCACGGCCGCTGTGGAGAGCTCCCATCTGGCAGAATCCTGACGTGACAGAGCTGGCCTGGCGTGTTCCCAAGCTGGACATTGTCAATGAAATTGCAGCAAGAGAAGGGCAAGTGAGAGCTCTGCGGAGCCAGCAGAGACACGGCCACTCAGCAGAGGGACAGCTGGGAGCTCACCCCTGTGCACAGTGACCTCCTCCCTGGGGAAGGGTGAGGGGGAACAAGGAGGGAACCCCCCTTCCTTCCCCAGAACTGGGAAGCCCCATGCTATCTGCAGGGACAGAGCCAGCCGCAGCTTCCCGGCTCACATGCACGTTTGGTGCTCCCTGCCCACCCCCCTGGGCAGTGCCTACGCCCTCCCACACAGCCTTCCCAGCCGGCAGGGCACCTGGGATATCCGGGCAGCCCCCGCTCCCTCCCGACTTTCTCCGTGACTCATTCGCTCCAGAGGAAAACCAATATTTCAGCACACATCAGAGAAAGGGCCGGGAGAAGCATTCCATGGGAAAGGGGCCGCGGCGGATGCTTCTCGCATGCCACATCCCAGCGGTTCGCCCTCGGGTCCCTGCTTCTCGGCTGGATGTGGGAAATGGCACTTGTTTCCCTCCCTGCTCTGCAGTCGCGGGCCAGCACGGCAAGAGGAGGAGGGCAGAGCTCTGCAGCCACCTCAGATCTCGGGGCACCCACGCCCCAGGTGCGGGGTGCAGGTTTAGTCCCCTCAAAGCTTCCGAGGGATCCACTGGAGAGGATGGAGAGACCACCCCTTCCCCCATCCCACTGCACATCCTGCCCAAAATCCCCATCCCTCTGCACGGCTGGGGCTCATTGGTAACAAGAGCTGCTCCTCACCTCTGCCAAACTCAGGAAGGTTGAGAGAGCTTCCAAAACCTTCTGTGATGCCTGAATTGCTCATTTAAGGGAGGAGTCCTTCTACTCCCACACTAGAACATCCCGGCTGCCATCTCCGGCCCCTCCACATCCCTCCTATGGCCAGTGGGAGCTATCCACAGCCTCCAAGTCCTGGCTGGGATGGGTTTCCCAGGATCTCCTTCCTTTCCACGGACTGTGCCCCTTCCTGTTTTCCCCACAAAGTGCAATTCAATTCAATTCAATTCAATTCAATTCAATTCAATTCAACTCAATTCAATTCATCACCAACTGCTTTCCCTGCTGGGTGTGAGCGGAGGCCAATAGCCACAAAGCAAGGAAACTCATCTGGATTCCTGCTTCCCCTCACCAGCCCTTCTAGAGGGACCACTTGAAAAGCACTTCATTTTTAACTGGAGGAAAAGAACATGTTCTTCCTCCTTCCTATATTGCCAGACAGGTGCTTGCTCAAGGGAGAGCTTTGAAATCCAGCCAGGCAAGACAAGGACCTCTAGGAGAGAGTAATGGAGCTGAGCCTAGGCTGTCACTTGGGGGACAGCCTTGAAAGCATCCCTGTCACCTTGGCAGGCACAGCACTGACGTGGCTGTCTCTGGCCTCACAGGGAGCTGGATGTGGACAGGATACAGGCTGCAGTGCAGGGTGGTGGCTGCATGAGGGAGCAGCAGTGCCCTAGGGATGCTGTGGGTAGTGGAATGCACCTGGGCTTTCCCAGTGTGCAGGTAACACAGAGGAAACAACCTCAAAATGGAAGATCCTGGCATGTTCTCGCTGCTTCCTTGGGGATAGTTCCAGCAGCCTTGAGGCTGTCACCTTTTCTCTCCCAGGCTGCACTCAGCATCTTCTC